AGAGAAAATGCCTTTGATGTGATTCTTACCATTCCGGGAGCTTACAGTTATTGAAGCAGGCTTGGCATACGTGAGGCTTTGCATACATGAGGCTCCAGAGAGCCTTCTCCCCAGGGACCCTATAAACCTCTAGGCCAGCTTAGTCAAACAACTCATTTGATGCAATTTATCAGTCAGTTCATTCCTCCAAATGGCCGATTCAAGAGCCTTAGGTAATGTTCGAAATCCTTCGTGTCCTTTCTTCCTTCAGAGAGGGTATCTGGGGTTGTTATTTTAAGAGCACCTTTTTCAAGATACCGATGCATCCAAAGCAGACCTTTTTTGTTTTTCAAACATAGGGAAAAAACCTCAGACTAGGAGACTAAAAATCCTAGTTTGAGCCCTGCTTCTGCCTCCAAGTAGCTAAATAAACTTGAGTAAGTTACTTTACCTCTCTGAAATTCAGTTTCTTCAACTGTGATCTCAAAATAAAATAACACATATTATAGGATTTTTTAAAAGCTACATGAAGGGTACAGTGTTTAAGGATGCTTTGCAAGCTATAAAGTACTTTTTATAGCTGTAAAGTATGAGATAATTATAGCACAAATGCTAGAGCTTGGGATGTTTTTCTTCTATATAACCTTTTAAAGTTTTCAAAGCAGTTGTGGCTTGATAAATTACAGGATAACCCACTCTTAATCATAACATTTGCAAAATATCTTTCTTCTTTGACATAAATAGATATTCAATAAATGTTTGGATGGAAGGATGGATGGTTGGTAGATGGGGCAGAGGGAGGGAGATAGCACATAAAAGAAAAGAAGTTTTAATTTTTTTCCTTTTTAATTTTGTGCTTTTAAAACATATTCCTTGATATGAACTGTGTTCTTGTATATGTGGAAGGGGAGGAGTCATTAAATAAAAGGCCCTGAATTGATTCATTGAATCAGTATGCTTGTTTTTCTGCTATTTGTTTTTCATTCAACAAAAAATTTACTAAGCAACTACCATTAGCTGGTCATTGTGCAAGTTTCAGGGAAAACCCAGTTGAACATCTCACAATTTTATTTTTTTTGGTGCCTATTTCTTCAGCTGCTAATTTTGCCCTTTAAACTTTCTGAGGAATGCTGAATTCACTGACACATGAACAGTCATGTGAAGGGCCCCAGCAGTGCTGAGGACTGCGCTTATCAAAACCCCGTCTTAGGAATTGTTTCCTGATGTACACGTGAGGCGCATGATCCCCCTATGGATTGTGAAATGTGTTTATGCAGAAAGGAGAAAGCTCCTCCTCCCCTTTGTTGCTTTCCCTACTTTGGACCTCTTTTCCCCGGGTCGGCCCCTCCGCACTCTATGTGGCCAAAGGAAAAATGAGATATGTCAGGGCTGGGATTCATGTGGTCTCACAGAGGCATCAGCCCTGCACCACTCTTGGATCAGATCAGTTAGGCAGAGTGTACAGAACCTCTCTGGAGGGGAAATTGGGCAAGACCTGCCTCTCACCAGTGCTGTACCAGCCTGGCCTGAGGTTTTCTAAGTCTCCTCAGGACTTGAGAATATAGGATCTTGGGAGGGATTTTTTTTTCCTGCCCTCCTGTTTCCAGGCAAGGAGACAGTGGACTTGGTATTTAAAAAGAATCACTGTGTATATTATGTACTGAAAATGGCTGGAAAAGAACCTCAGTTTGTGATCCATTTCTCTCCTTGTGGATGTGAGGGAGCAGTTTAGACTTTCAGGTGGTTTGTGGCAGAATCAGGGTTCAGACCCAGATCTTCAAACTCTAAACCCATGGCTCTTGCTAAATGTTCCCTGGTGAACTGACACTTCCAAATATATTTCCTTTGTATAAGACAAGTGTCACTTCATAAAGTGAGGGACTCTAGAAAGAACATGGGTTTTAGGGTCAGACAGAACAAGGTCAAGGGGCCATATCCTGGCACTGGTCTTACATCTCTGTGACCTTGGGCAAGTTGCTTTGCTTCTTCTGTGTATGTCGAAGGGAAGAAAATATATTTTGTAGATGTTGCAAAGATTAAATGAGACAGTATTTAAAGATTTTAATGCAGTATCCAGCCTATCCTAGCTATCTAACATGTTTTCTAAAAATGTGGGAAGAATACAACTGTCTCTTGAGAAAGAGTTCAGATGATGTTGGTAATATCGATGGCGACAGTGATGGTGGTAGTAGTGACATAGCAACCATTAGTTAATCATTTAATTTTAAACATTCCCTCTGTATCAGAGCTACCATGTGATATTGTTATCTTCTTCATTTTATAGCAGGTCTTTCTGTCTTCAAATTCCATTCTTTTTTCATTGTAACACACTTGTTCCCAGATTTTAAGGCTAGTAATATCAACAGTGAGTCTGCTAACCAGAGAAGAAACAAAGAAATACTTTCCACAAATTTATTTTTTCCCATGTTTAACCCCCTTTCAGGATTGAAGTACCCTGTAAAATAAACTTTGTCCATGCTTTACATACGTGGGACCAATAAAGGCGGTCACCATCAGGGATTCCTTGAACTTACGTATAACACCGTGGACCCGCAGTGGCCAACCCCTTTTCTGTCAAGGATCTTGGGATCAATATATTGAAGGCCACAATATTTTGAGATATGCAGATGAGTAAACATCGTCCGCCTGGTTATTGGGTTTTTATCTTAGAGAAGAACCTGAGACCCAGCAGTTCGGAATCAGACTACATGGGTGTGATTCCCAGCCCTGCTTCTGGTGAGCTGTGTGACCTTGGTTCAGTTACTTCTCATTTCTAAGCTTCAGTTTCCTCCTCTGTAAAATGAGGATAATAATAACACCAATCACGTTCAGTGGTTGTAAGAATTAAATGAGACAGATGCAGAGAGAGAGCATGCAAATAGAGCGCAATTAAAATTATCTCATATCTAGGGTTTCTTCCTGTTCGAAAGCCTTTGTGCCCTGGGTGGGGAAATTTATCACCCAGGACTTCCCAGAAAAATGTAAAGCACTCTAAGTACATAGAAAAGAGGGAATTTAATACACAAAAACGGTGACCCAGTTATGAAGGAGCCGTGAAGGGCTATATTCCCTGTGAAGCAAGCCAGGGGTCAGCAGAATGGAAGCTATTACGACCCCTAGCTGGAGGAACATAGGAGGAGGTTGTGTGACCAGAGACGAGGGGCGGTGAGCACAGGCCAAGTGGGAGCATTGGTGGCCCTGTCAACAGAGCTGAAATCATGGAGGAGACGCAGCCACCTGACCCGGGGGAAGCGGGGGAGATGCACTCTGGCTCTCCAGTGCCTTCAGCCCTCAGACCTCCTGTCAGGGCTGACCTGGTGTCTGGGAACCATGGGCTGCAGGGGCAGCCCCACGATGCCGAGCAGAGCAGGGGACTTGGTGAAAACTTCAGGTTGCTTCCATGTCTTGGCTCTTGTAAGTAGTGCTACAATGAACATTGGGGTCCATGTATCCTTTCGGATTATGGTTTTCTCAGGGTATATGCCCAGGAGTGGGATTGCTGGGTCATATGGTAGCTCTGTGTTTAGTTTTCTAAAGAGTCTCCATGCTGTTCTCCATAGTGGTTGTAGGCCCTGCAGTTTTTCTTGTCCCATCCTGATCCCTGCATTGAAATGCTCCATCTAGGCTTCTCCCTCCCTCCCACAGGACCGTGAGCATCCCAAGGAAAAGGGACTGTCATCTTATCCTCACAGCCTCAAGCGCTGGTACTTTCACTTTCTACTCTATGCTGGCCACTGTGGTCGGTGCTGGGGGACTAAGCACGTGGGCGAGACAGTGCCAGCTTCCTGCAGCTTTTATGATCAAAGGAGAGGCAGACAGGCTGTGGTAATTCTGTAAGTTACCAGTGTCTTGTATGCTAGCGAAGCCCAAGGGGGACTGGGAGCTGCATCTTTCCCGGAGGAACAGGGAAGCCTTCCGAGGAAGTAACATTTGAGTTACGAAGGAATTGGAGTTCACCTGGCAAAGAGGTTGGGAAATGGCATTTCAGGCAGAGGGCAGAGCAAATGCAAAGGTCTGGAGGTGGGAAGGAGCGCTGAGGATTGGAGATGGAGAGCGGAGAGGCACAGCCCGAAGCCCATGGAGCCGGAGGGAGCTGTTCTCTCCCGCGTCCGGCCTCTGTGCTCTGCCCTGATGATTCCCACCTCCTACCTGTGTCCTAGCTGGGAATGTTTGCGTGTTTTCCGCTCCCACATCACACCCAGTATATCGTTTTATGTGTACAAAGTGCTCATTGGATATTTGAATAAGTGACAGACGACTCAAGGCTCTAAATGGTCTCTCTAACTCTCCCCTCGCATTTGTAACTTCACTCGCCCAGCAAATATCAAGGAACACAATCTGTGTGGAGAAGCAGCCTGAGCTTATACCATTTATGGGAAACTCTCTGCCACCTGGCATTCTTTCAACAGAAACTCACTGTCAGTCACTCTATCCTTTATGCCGAGAGTTCTGGCATGAGTAGTACTAAGAATGGTGAGCCAGAGATGCCGAGAAGATCCAGTCATCAGACGATTCTTTTGCCTTCGTTGAGACTGAAATGTGATGTGTTAAACCAGATTCCCTTCAGCCCTGCTGCTTACTAGCAGTGTGACCTTGCACGGGTCACTCCATCCATAGGTGGGCCTTCCTTCCTCCACTGATGCGTGGGGTTAATAATATCAACTTGACAGGCTTAATATAAAATGAGACTATATATATAAATATTCAGCATGGTGCCTGGTAGTTCGAGAGCAAAAATCATTGATGGCTGTTGCTTTTATTATTCGAATTACAGTTACTATTATTGTTCCGGTGTTCGAGGCTGTACACTGAGGAGAGTAAAGCAAAAGCAGAACGTGTTTCCCTGCTCCCCTGGCAGAGGCCAGTTATGCTCTTTTGGTTTCTGTTTGAGAATGGCCTGCACGTGGAATGCTTTCTCAATGTTGTTTGGTATTAAAAAAAGAGTATTTTATGTTTGTTTTAGTTTTCTTTCCTTCTTTTTTTTTTTTCAGAGGATTTTGTTTTGTTTTGGTTTCTCACAGGAGTGATTGGAGCAGATGTGAGGGGGCATGGCCTCGCCTGTGAGGGACAGCCGGTGACGTCGCGGCTGGCTATCATCTGTGGAACATCTTCTTGTCACATGGGGGTGAGTCTGCCCAGCAAGCGAGCGAGGGCGGGGCTACCACACTCCAGGGAGGACGGCCCGGCCAGGGAGGAGATCTGAGCTGTTGGCCCCTCCCCACCTCAGTTCCTTCCCTTCCTGCCCCCCACCCCCACAACCCCTGTGCTGTGTCTAGCCGAAAGCTCAGCCCTCCTTCCAACAGCCTTGCTTAGATTTGCCAGATCTTTTTCCAGGGGCCAAATTCTTAAAAAGTGTGAAAAGCGTTGAGTCTGCCTTTGACATCACCCTGGCCAGAGAGCCGAGGTGGAAGGGGTGAAATTGGATCCAGAGATGGCCAAGCCTCGCTCCCAGACGATCTGTCCCTAATGGGTAGCTGAGTCTTCTCTGCACAGGGGTGTCTATTTTCCTTGGCCGCTGAGCTCTCTCTCAATCAATATAAATCCATCTCCCTGGGAGCAGTCAGATGATGTATAGAATTAGGCTGCATGTCATGACTTCAAAAGAACACTGATAAGCAGTTTTCACTTTGTTAATTTTTCTTCATGAATTAGTGGAAAGGCTTTCTCCAAGATTGCAGTTAAAATTTAGTGCCTGCCCTAAAATTTATATCTTCTTTAAATGCATGAGTCTGAAAGCATTCCATTTCGATAAGTACCCATTTCTACCATATTTTTATTTAAGAGTCGTTACTCTGTTAAACTAAGATGGACGATGGACGACTCCTTGGATTTTTCCCAGATGAGTAAAATAGAGGGGAGGGTGGGGGAGGAGGAGGAAGGCAAATGGGAGAGTAGTGGGGACATGCGTAAGGATTAGAGTGGGATCTGGGATACAGTCCAGGGCAGAATCTCTACGACGATGGAGGGACTTATGTGCCATGAGAAACTGTGTTTAGTTACCGTGGGGACCCGTGAGCCTTTTGTACCATGAAATATTTTGGTTGAGTAAATATTGATACCTTTACTTATCCAGTGATGCTCTGCTCTTGTGTCCAGGGCTGTGCTAAATCCTGGGGACGTAGGGATGACATAGGGCCTCCCGTTGGCGAGATAGATGATGACAGGTATTACGGTACAAGCCCTCACAGTATAGATTCAGACTGAACTCGAGATACTGAGCATCTAGTATGTGCTAGGCATGGTGGCAGGGGTTCTCACACGTTTCATAAAGATGATGGGACCGCCTGACTGGTTTCCAGTCCCAGTTCCTCCACTTCCTAAGGATGGGCCCTCAGGCAAGGCACTTAACCCCTCTGGGCCCCAGATTCCTCATCTGTGAGATGTGGAGAGTTGTAGTACATGTCTCATAGTATTGTGAGGATGGATAGAGGTGACATTGCCAGGGTTAGCTCTCCATCACTTGCACTGGTGTTGCTGGGCAGAAAGGACACAGTGGCTGCCTGGGGAGGGTCCAAGATTAGGGACAACGTCCTAAAGGGACAGTAGTGCTGGACTTCTTGCACCCCCTCCAAAAAAAATTTCCTTCTGTTTGTTTCCGTGGACGAACTCTTAGATGGAACTTCTTAAAGTTTAAAAGCCCTGGCCTCTTTCTTCCCCTCAGCAGCCCTATTGTAAGGCTTGGCTGTCACTGAAGGGAGAGATCAACGGAGGCCTAAGGCCGCCTTGAGCCGGAGGTGCCCACCAGGGCAGTCAGCCCTTATCTCCCCCGACATGAGTCTACACTTGCTAGCTTGTCTTCCCTGAACACTGTTTTAAACCTTTTTAAATCACCTCCCATTTTCACAGGGACACATCTGATCTGGTTTCTCCTGTAAAGCCTACATTTCAGGCATTTTTACCCCACTCAGTTCGGATTTATGAGCAAAAGCAAATCCATATGAATGTGAGTCTGTGACATCCCCATGTCTCAGTTTCCTGGTCTCTTAATGAAAATGATGCTGGCTTGTTGTACAGCATCCATTTTAGAAATTAAGCAACTAAGGCCTAGAAAAGGCCAGTAATTTTCCCAAGGTCACCAAGCTATTCAGCTGGAGCTGAAAACTCAGGTCCAGCTCTGTCTGCGTCCCAAGTGCATCCCCCTCAGTGCCTTACTGCATTGTGCATGATTATGATGTGTCCGTACAGGAATGGAGAGAGCATGGGCTTCAGAGTCAGACGGGTGTAGGTTTGGACATCTGCTTGTGTACTCTTTGGGCCTGTGACCTAAGGTGAGCTACTTAAGTTCTCTGAGCCTCAGATTCTTCATCCGTCACACTGAGGGTGAGGATGCCAGTCTCACAGGGTTTCTGGGTAACATAAGTTATGTACATACATCCGTAGTACATAGTAGACACTCAGAAATTGTGGGGATTCTTATTACACTTTCCTAGTGATATAAAAGGCTCACATGAAGCAACTGTTGGGCTTTAATGAGTTTGATGGGCAGCTGCAGTTGGTTGCAATGAATGAAGGCCATAAAATGCCAGTTTGTTATGGTGGTGTTGTGCTGGAAATAAAGTCCCCACTCCCACCCCGCTTTGTACTTGGGAGTGGGAAGGGACCTTCTGGGCCAAGGGGATTAATCATGAGCTTTAATGTTACGTGGTGAGGGCGAGACTGTGGTCATGCTGGCGTCGGAAAATGCCTTTGATCTGGCTCAGGTGCTGGACACCCAGCAAGCCAACAACAGTAACACCTCTGTGAGATCTAGGAGAGGTGCAGGTCTGAGGATATGCTCCCAGGGAAACTTAAGGACCCTCTTTGTTGTGGTTCTGGCAAATAAAACCACCAACTGTCAGGAAAAATTCACCGAACAGAACTCAGGGACCAGAGGGGTCTGTGGGCTTTTCAAAAAAGTGACTTCCAACTCGGTCTGAAGGATTCTCTTTCTTCCTGTCTGCTCACTGCTGATGTTTCTAATTCTGTAGGTTGATTGGGTCAAAATTCCCAGGAATATTTTGTGTTTGATCCTGGTTGCTTCTTTCTAGCTCACCCAGAATGAATGAATGAAGGAATGTAACAAGCATTGGTACTTAGGAGTTGCCCTCCTTCACATCCCTGTTACTTCCAGGAATCTGGAGAAAAAGCCTGAGGTTGAACATAAGCTTTACTAATCAGGCCTTTGATATTTTACAAGATACAAGTGTGGGCTGCACATTTATCTTCCTCGTAGATGATTTAATTAACAAGGAAAAAAAAATACTGTTCTTTTTTTAACTGCATGAAAGCAGAGCTGCTTGTTCAGAGTTAATTACTACCAACTCACCAAAACCCAAGATCATACACAGCAGGGGTGAGCCAGAGGTTGAAAAGTCACAGGGTCAGATGGAGCTGATCCCTGCCATCGCTCCAGCACCCCTTTTCTCAAGCTGTCAAGTCAGGTTGTAACTTGGCAACTTGTCTTTAGTCAGCATGACAGATGGAGAGGGGACCGTGGGGAGGGGGTGGGGAAGACTGAAGAGGTAAGGTTTGAGCAGCACGATAGTTGGTGAGAGCTGGGAATTACATCTGCATCTTAAATCACTCAGAACTGAAGTTTTCTCAAAGTCTTAGATGAATGTAGGCATGGTGGTTCTCGATCACGCAGTAGGTGTGGAATTTCTAAAATAGGCTTCTACAGAAAAGCTGGCCTCACCACTTACTGTGTGAGTTTAGGTAAGATACTTTATCTTTCAGTACCTCAGTGTCTTCATCTATTATATGTGGGCAGTAGTGTTTACCCAGAGTGTTGTTTTGAGGATCAAATGAGGTAATCTTTGTAAGCAGCTTGGCACTGTACCTAGCACCATATACCAGATATGGTATTATTGTTAGAAATGATTCATTAAAGCTAGAATGATCCATGTGACAATGGATTTGAATTAAAGACATCAGGATGAACTCAGGTTGAGCTTAATGTAGATTACAGATGGATACATACAGAAATATTTACAGACGTGCAGGTATACAGGTTAGTAAACATACATGTATTTCCTAGCTGTGACAGTGGAGGGGGCCTAGAAACAAGGACGCCCTAGCAAATAGTTGCTACAAGCACTCCTGGTGCCCAGATCTTGGTTTCTAATACCATTCTCCAATAAAAGGGTCAGGGCTTCTTGGAGAAATGGTTGATCCTAGGACTAGGGCTGGAAATAGACAAGATGAGCCTAGGGTATCTTGTTGTAGCACCAGAAAGTAAGATAGCGCTCAAAACAAAACAAAGTAAAAACAAACCCCGCCTCCCCCCAACCCCACAAACTGAAGGAATTATCAGGAGCCAACCACGGGGGCTTCCAGTGGCCAAAACTGTAACAATTTGAGCAGAATAATAAAGTGTATTGGAGTATAACCCAAAGTATAACATAACTATTATGAGTCCATGCTGATACCAATAAATGAACAGAAGAGACAAATCTATCATGCAGGAGAATTTATATAGATATTCCCCCCTTAAGGAAGTGGAGCATACCTTCCTATTCCTGCACAGCAAAGGAAGCCATAAACAAAATGGAAAGACAACCCACAGAGTGGGAGAAAATATTTGCAAATGACGCGATCGACAAGGGATTAGTCTCCGAAACTTACAAACAGCTCCTGCAGCTTAATATCATCAAAACAGACCAATCAAAAAATGGGCAGAAGACCTAAATAGACATTTCTCCAAAGATGACATACAGATGGCCAAGAGGCACACGAAAAGATGCTCAACATCGCTGATTATTAGAGAAATGCAAATCAAAACTACAATGAGGAATCACCTCACACCAGTGAAAATGGCCATCATCAAAGAAATCCACAAACAATAACTTCCTATTCCTTAAGCATGAGCTGCACATGGTGACTTCCTTTCAAAGAGGAGAGTACAAAAAGGGAGAAAAAGAATAATTTTATAGTGGGGAAATCTGACACACTAACTTCAGCCAGGTTATCAAGGTCAACACCAACAGTGATAAGTCATGTTGATAGTATGTACTGCTGACATGGTGTGAAGAGAATGGCACTTTATCTCTGTTATCTTCCTCCCCAAAACCCATAACCACAGTCTAATTAATCATAAGAAAAGCAGCAGACAATTTCCATTTGAGGGACATTCTACGAAATACCTAACTGGCACTCTTTGAAACTGTCAAGGTCATCAAAAAACAAGGAAAGCCTGAGAAATTATTACAGCCAAGAGGCGCCTAAAGAGATATGTAATGTAGCATCCTGGATGGGATCCTGGAACAGAAGAAAGCTGTTAGGTGAAAACTAAGGAAATCTGAATCAAGTAAGGTCTTTAGTTAATGATGTCAATATCTTTCTTTAATTGTGACATATGAACTTAATGTAAGATATTAACGATAGACAAAACTAGGTGTAGGGTCTATGGAACTCTGTACTACCTTCCCAAGTCTTCTGTAATCTAAAACGGTTGTAAAATTAAAAGTTCGTTTTAAAAAATTATTCATTAAATCATTCACTCATTACCAAAACATTTTCTTGTATTTGCACGGCCAAATACTCAGGGTATTAAGATAAATAAGTTAGCGTGTCATGCCTGCCTTCATTGAGAAAGACAGACAAGAAGGAGATGACTACAGTTCAGAGTGGTAATTCCGATGGTAAGTTTAGGGCTGAATATGGAGAAGGGGACGACTCAAGCTTCCAGTAGACAGGGAAGCTTTCCTGTAGGATGTGCTATTTGTAGGACTGTAGTTCCCACCCCCCCACACTGGGATGCTATTCCTTCCCGGTTTCAGCCACTAGACCCTGGCCTCACCCTTCTCTTCTTTCTCTTCTGTGTCCACATCACCCACAGCAATACCAGTTTGCTCCTGGGTGGGATGTGGGTATTGCAGGCCCATTGGGAGAGCACCACAGGAAGGGAGAATGTCACAGCTAAGAAGAGTGTGGGCAGGTTTCTCTGTCTTGGACTCTTTAGCAAGTGGCATTGGCAGAGGTCACTGAGAGAGGTGGAGAGGGAAGGGAGTCCATAAGGCACAGATAGGACCACTGTTACACCTCCCAGTGAAAGAGCTGAGCTACTGTGCATGATTCGCCAGGACTCGCTGTTGTCAGCCTCTGGGATCAGTGTTCTCAGGAGTCAGTCTCTCCATACTGAGGCTCGCCCTGGGCCCTGCAACTACATGTATGGAAAACAGACTGTATGCTAGGCATCGATTGGCAAGGAGAGGTTTGATGTGGTTCCGTGAGCAGTAAGACAGCTTGTGCATTCAGGAAGCTCAGCGTAGTGCTTCTCCTGGCATTTGAGGCAGGACAGTTCTACACTGCGCTGGACAGAGGATGTTCAGCATCCCTGGTCCAGCCTCAGTCATTATAAGGAGACGTTAGCTGCTACCATCTATTGAGCACCGGGCACTGTGCTAAATCCTTTATGTCATGTCATCAGTTCAACAATCCTGTGAACTGGGCACCATTACTCTCCCCGTTTCACAAGTGAGGAAACGGAGGCAAAGAGCAGTTAAGTGGGTCACACAGTGTGACACACAAGAAGCGGGGACGCTCGTCTGAGCCCTCTAGGGGACTGACCCTAGAGTCCTTGCTCTTCCCTTTCAGGTACACAGCTTCTCCCAAATGCCTAGAGGAGAGGGACAGCAGACTCAACTGGAATATGGGCAGATGTTGGTGCATACATCTCACCAAAGAAAAGGTTTGAATGACAAACACCTGAGAAGATACTCAACATCATTAGTCACTAGAGAAATGCCAATTCAAACCACAGTGAGATCCACTACATGCTTGTTAGAATGGCTGACACTGTGGTGAAGATGTGGGAAAGTGGAACTTATGTGCTGCTGGTGGGACTGTGAAATGGTACAACCACTGTGGAAAATAGTTGATCAGTTTCTTACAAAGTCAACGTACACCTACCGTGTGATCCAGCTGTTCCACTCGTAAAAGCATATGTCTGTACAGAAACTCATAGCAGTTTTATTTGTCATAGCCCCAAACTGGAAACAGCCCACATGTCTATCAACAGTGAATAGTAAAATGTTAGTCCATCACTAAGCAGTAAAAGGGAATGAGCTATTAATATAAGGTACAACATGGATTAACCTCAAAATAATTATGCTGAGTGGGAGAAGCCAAACAGAAAGAGTACAAACTATGTGATTCCATTTATTAAAAATTCTAGGAAATGCAAACTAATATATAGTGACAGAAAGCAGAATGAGTGGTGGCCTGCAGTGGGGCAGTGGGCAGGGTAGGATTACAAATGGGCACAAGGAAACTTTTGGGGGTAATGGATATACTTACCTTGATTGTAGTAATGTCTTCACTGGTGGGTGTCTGCTGTGTCAAAACTTATCAAAGCAAATGTTTTAAAAATGTGCAGCTTATTGAATGCTAATTATAGCTCAGTAAAGCTTTTTTACTATTAATTAATCAATTTATTTATTTGGTCGCACCAGGTCTTAGTTGCAGCACACGGGCTCCTTAGCTGGGGCTCGCATGCGAACTCTGAGTTGCGGCACACATATGGGATCTAGTTCCCTGACCAGGGGTCAAACCCAGGCCCTCTGCATTGGGAGCACTGAGTCTTAACCACTGCGCCACCAGGGAAGTCCTAATAAAGCTTTAAAAAGAAAAAAAGAATACCAGAAAAAAAAACAATAACAATAGCGTCTGCAATCACTTATATAGTGCTTACTGTATTCCAGGCACTGATTTAAATCTATCTCTAAAAATTGTTTGGTCCTCATTTTAAAAATAGTACATAGTAGGTGCTCAATAAAAATACTGGTTGTCACTTCTTTCCTTCTAACCCAAGTTAATTCTCTAGCTACTCTGACTTTTTTTTTTTTTTTTTGCGGTATGTGGGCCTCTCACTGTTGTGGCCTCTCCTGTTGCGGAGCACAGGCTACAGACGCGCAGGCTCAGCAGCCATGGCTCACGGGCCCAGCCACTCCACAGCATGTGGGATCTTCCCGGACTGGGGCACGAACCCGTGTCCCCTGCTTCGGCAGGCAGACTCTCAACCACTGCGCCACCAGGGAAGCCCCTCTGACATATTTTACTGTTCTGCTCTTTTGATCCTTAGCACAGACCAATAGGTATGGTTATTTGTGTTTTAATGGTAGCAGTTTGTACCTCAGATGAAGCTGACTTGCCTAGTGGGTCCACATTAGTGGGTCCATGTCTCCATTTCCCCCCTTGACCCATGCTGTCCAGTTGAGAGCTGGGGCATAATAGATGCTTAGCAACTGTATGTCTGGATTGCTTCCCACCCACACCCCTTGCTGACAAGTGTGCAAGCGCTTGGATTTTCCTAAGTCTCCTTTCACTCCTTCCCAGTCCACTGGGGCTGTCTTTCAGCATCTGTCTCCGCTGAGTGGGGACCAGCTAACTGGGAGAAGCCCCCCGTGTCTGAGGTGCTGTCAGCCTTGTTTCCCACCCCACCTTACCGGGGACACCTGCGAGTTCACTCGGCCTCTCTGGGAAGTGAGAGTTTCACTGAACAGCTTTACCTCAGTGGGGCCTGGGAGATACAAACCAGCCACACCTGCCCTCTCTTCTTTCCTCCACCACGCAGTCCTCCGGAACTCTCCATTCCCATCCATCACCCCCCTGTGCCCTTGGGGGGAGAACAGGATCCATTCCCAGCAGCTCTTCAGGAGGCACTTTGGCTCAGAGTGGATCTGCAGCCTGATCTCTGTTCTGTTGGGAAAAGAGGGTTCAGGCGCCCTAGCGTCTTGGGCTCTAACCAGAGAAAAGCCACCCTCAGACCATGCCATGTCGTTGGAGCTGCATTCTTTGGGTGATGACTGTAGCAGCTCTGTGTTTCACCCAGGCCCGAGCTAGAGCAACAAAGGATGCTGTGCATCGTTCCTCACAAGGGAAATGCAAAGGCAAATGCAAACCCCAGTGAGACCCACTACACGCTTGTCAGAGTGGCTGAAGTCCGGCAAGGATGGGGAACTGGAACTTTCACGCGCTCCTGCTGGGAACGTGAAATGGCACAGCCCCTTTGGAAAATAGTTGAGCAGTTTCTTACAAAGAAACTCTCATACCTATTGTATGATCCAGCCGTTCCACTCCCATAAAAGCTGGGCAGGGCTGTCTGGTCCCATGTTTCTGGAAGCCCACCAGGAACGCAGCAAAGCCAGGTGTAACACAAGGCCTTTCATAAGGTCAGAAACAAAAGCCTCTGATGAGAGTCCGTCAACTGGCCCGAGCTCAGCTTTCCACAAAAGACGGCAGCTTGCCTGGAAGAATGGTAGAAGCAGAGGGAAAAAACAAAATTAGCAGCAGTAACAATAGCAGCTAATATTTACTTCATGATTATCACGGGCTAAGAAATGTGCATCTATTATTGTGTCTAACCCTCATAATAACCTTATGCAGTTATCAGCATTATCCTCCCATTTTACAGGGACTGAAACTGGGTCTCAGAGAGGCAAAGTACTTACCCAAGTCATATAGCTCGTAAGTCCTAGAGATAGTTTCTAACTCAGGCTGTTTGATTCCAGAGCTCACATTCTCAGTTCTTTGCAGAACGATGAGACTGGGGCCATAGCATGGGTTAGTCATGCACACGGGTGTTTTGCAGAAATGGGGTGGAGTGATTACAAGGCAGATCTTTTCCAAAGGCTGGTGAGAACTGCAGAGCGAGGGCTGGATGCAGCTTGACCACAGTGTTCTCATTTTCCCTCCTTCCCAGTCTTTCAAATCTCTGCCTTTCAAGGGGCCCCCAGTCTAACGATAACAATAAAAATAAATAGCATCACTTGTCACCATCATCCCCTGGGCGGAGAGTATTTATGAGACTTTTTATTTGTCATCTTCCCTGTTTCTGTGCTGCTTTGTGGTCAAGTACTGAATTAGGCAATTTGAAGACATGTGGCTAACTTCCCAAATCACAGAGATGTTTTGTATTCGTTTGGAAGAGCATGAAATGAAAACCACATTGATTTTTTTTTTCCCTTTTTCTATTTACCACTCATCTGCTGTATGGGTGACTGTGATACTGTGGCTGCTGAGGACGACCTAGCAGTGATGGAAGTATTTGTGCTCTTCCAGCGAATGAGTGAGGATGAAAAGGAGGCTGAGACAGCCAGGGCAGAGCCCTCGCTAAGTGTCAGCTACTATGCCACGGCCTCAACACACATCAGCTCATCTAGTTTATTAAACTACGTAGTCGCGAACCGAACGAACTTTTTGGCCAACCCATTGCATACATTTGGTTCAGGGGTTTCAGGATTTTCGCCTTGTTGCTTCCCCCTTATTTTTGCATCCCCATCTCCCACTCTCCTTGTGTGCTCCACCAAGGGCCTCTTTTTTCACCTTAATTAAATTTTCATATTTTTTTGTCCCCCAGAGCCATCAGAAGTTTGGTGTAATATTCTATTCTTCTACTTAACCAGTGTTAGAACACCAGGAGAAATAACATCTAAGAGACCAAAGATCCCAGAAGAACCCATGAGAAATTTTTTGAGCAATCAACGCTGAAGGATTGAGGTTGAAAGTCTCCTTCTAATGAACAGTCAGTGGCTCCCTATTGCTGATAGAAATAAAAAGGTTCAGTGTGAAAACTGAGTAGACATTTTGGCCATGTTATAGATTTGAGATATATTCAGTTGAAAAAGAATGGAAGTCTTAAATCCCAAGGAGGTGAAAGTTACTGCAGTGCTGTGATGCATTTTTTTAAACTTTTTTTTACTGAAAGATAATTCACATACCATAAAATTCACCCCTGCCATGTATTTTTCAAACCTCTAGAGAACTGAGTATAGTGATGTCTGAGAAAGAGAAATTCTCAGTGCCCAGGTTTTAGGTTATACTGTGGAATGATACCAGCACGGGATCTTTATTACTTACAGAGGTAACAGAAAGATACCACAAAGCAGTAAATTTCCACTTGCTTGCACTTAGGGTAGCACCTGACACATGGTATGGGTCTAGTAAATATTGGATTGATAGATGGGCAGAAGGACAGACAGAAATATACTGGGCAACCATCAAGGTTTGTTGAAGAATAAATCGTGCCATACCAGTTTGGTGTCCTTTTTTTTAAATTTTTTTTTCTTTTTTCTTTTTTTGATGGGTTGACAGGCTGTGTGGTGAATGAAGGGACATCTAGCATGTCAGCTCTCTGGTCTTCAGGAAGGCTTCAGTTTCTTTCTTGATGAACTGACCCTTCCCACTTGACACAGCAGCGTTGGTCCATTCAGTCACAAAATTCCACCCACCTGAGAATTGATTCTTTTCACTGAATTATACCTTGAAGCAGGCCATAAGCAAAATCATAAAACTGATTGAAAAGTATTTGTATCATCCAATTGCCAAATTTGTGTTTGGGCCTCCAGCCATTGGTTTTAGCCTTGTGTGGAGCCAGGCAGAGACTGAGCCTTGATTCTGTTGGTTGGGGAGATGTTTAACTGGAGAGTGCTTTTGAATGATCGATCAGCCGCCCAGGAGCTGCTTGACGTAGACAAGTCACAGGCCACCCTGACTTACGTACCTGCCATCCACCTTCACGTTAAACTCCACTGCAAGTTCCTCAGGTTTCTCTGTAACTCTCAGCTGAGAGATTAGCTATGATCTTCAAAGGCAGGGCTAGGGTTCTCTGGAATTAGGGAGATGGCCCACGAAAAAAAAAGAGGGAGCCCACAGAGAAGATGGCCAGTTATATTAATATATGTACTCATTCTTCTGTGATATGCAAGACCCTAATTTGCATGGACCTACTTTGACAGACTCATAGTGAAGATGGTCCTGAATACTAAGTCTGATGGTTTCACTCTCCCGATTAAAATCTCTCAGTGATTCTCCCGAATTCTAGCTCCACGTAGGAGATCTCGCGTGATCTGAGCCCTGCCCACCCCTGGCCTCATCCCCTGCTATCCCTCACTTTTCATCCTGTATTCTAGCAGGTACATCTCATATCCTTATATGAATTCCATGGGGACAAAGTTTAAGAATAGAGAATATCCAGATTTTAGAAAGTTAATACTGTACGTCTACAGTATATTACATAACTATGCCAGTGAGATCTGGGGTAGCACCCATAATCAATCACATTTGTATTTCTGTAGTAAAACTTGCGAATATTCAGACCAAGTAGGTTAAATAGGTTCTAAAGAGCAAGATATTTATTCATTTTGCCATCCAATGAATCATGAAAATACTTGGGTATTTGGAATGCTTTGAATTGAAGTATACACTTCTTGAAAAGAGCCTGTGCTTTCTCACTTGGCCTTAAGGCATATTTTTCTCTCTGCCTGGAGTGGCCACATCTCCCTTCTACCTGGTGAGTATCATTACCACCAGAATCATCATCATTATTATAATTCACATTTATTGAGCACTTACTATGTTATTTGATACTCCCAGTAAACTCTGGGATGGCCCTCCTTGTATTATCCCAAATGTTCAGATGAGGAAACTGAGGCTTGGGGAGGTCACAAGGCAAGGAGGAGGTAGAACTGAGGTTGAACCAAAGCCCAGGGACCCTAGAATCTGTGTTCTTAGTCACTACAGTATCCTCAGTATGTGTCTTCCCCAAAGTTCCCCAAAGGTCAGGTGGTACTTCCATGCAACCCTTGTTCCTTTCACCAGCATGTCTGGTGAGTTGTACCTCCTCAGAGGCCCTCAGAGTTCTTTAAGCCCAGCTCTTGGGCAGCACTTACCACTCCCTGTCTTCCCCACAAGGCTGAGCTTAGTGAGCAGTCAGGGAAAAGCCTGCTTCATGCTCTTTGACCATGGCACATAGTAGGCACTCAACACATCGTGTGTTATCAAGTTCACCCAAAGAGGTGTGCTAACAGATAGGAAATAATTTGTATCCCCTGTGAGGTTAGATAGTAAACACCATCACAATTTCAAGAATAAAAAATTTGGATCTAAAAAAGGAAAAGAAATATTCACCAAAAAAAAGGCTACTCAAGTTTATGTGTGGTATATGTAAAGAAGAGGAATTTGCTGGGGACAGTATTTTAGGGATGAACAAGGAACATGTTTATACTTAGGAAACAATAGCTAGGATTTATTAAATGATGACCACATGCTGGTTTCTCTGCTAGGCAGTCCGTATATAGAATATCTAATCCTCACAATAAATATGTGAGATTAATTTATGAAAGAGAAAGATGTAGTAGCCATGTTTTAGGTCAGAATAAAGAGTAATACAAATATATTCAGATATAACAAAAGTCAAATGTCATTAGAGGGCGGTAGCCTAAAATGACCCAATAGGGTATATTTCTCCATCTAAGAGATGATAGAATTGAGGTCAGAAAGATTACAGAGCTAGGACACGGCAGGGGAAGCCAGGTCTGGCTGGTCTCCTGTCTTTTATATTCACTCCTTGAAAACGTTAACACGGTACCTAAGTATATCCCACTATCCTACCCAGAATTGGGTCTGGTTTCGAGTTCTGCTTCTGGAAAAAGCTGCTGGAACTTGGAAGGAAGCACACAGTACACAGCTACAATGTGTAAGGGAAAGTGAGCCCCACGAGCAAAGTTTGGGATGGTTAAGATATGGGCTAGTTCTGACTGCTTAAGAGAAACCTTATGGGTTGGCTTAATTTTCTTGTTTATTAAAGTTTTTGTGATCATAAAATGAGTAACTCTTTCTTGGTGCTTTAGAGTTTGTAAAATGCCTTTTGGAATGTAATGCTCGGAATTACTAAGTGAGGCAGACAGAACAGGTGTTTTCTTTTTTTAAGTGAGGCTCAAAGAAACTGAGTGATTTGTCCAAAGTCCCACAGCTAGTGAGGGTTAGGGCCAAGACTCAGATACATATGTGAGCAAACCCCAAGCCTTTTCTGCCACGTGCTTAGTTGGTTCATCTTTGTTTACTCAAATTGAAGGATCCTGCAGTTGGGGAAAGCCTGGTTCCTCACAGGAAGGGCTCTGGATTCTGAATCGCTAGTCCCCATTTGTGACTGTAAATTCTCCATTGAACTGCCAGCCAGTGGTTCTCGATTACTACGCATAAAATGTCCCTGGAAACTCCTTACAAATGCAATTCTTCAGGTGCCACTCCCACAGGGGGTGATTCATTGAGTCTTGCTGGGAAGGAGTATTTATGAATCTGTCATTTTAACAAGTGCCCCAGTGATTCTAATCAGGAACTTTCAGAAAAATGGCTTTAAGCTCCTTCCGAGTACCAGTGATATCTTTCCGTCACTGTTTCCTCAGTGCCTAACAGAGCACCTTGTACATAGAAGGTACTCTAAATTTACTTCAGTGAATTATGAAGTAAATGAATGTAAAAGTAGTATAAAATGTAGTAAATTAAGTTGGATGGTCAGTCAGTTCCTGCTGGTTTGGGTCACTCTTGGAGGTTCCTTGAGTCTCCATCCTTTCAAAGAAATCCTCTCTTGGTAGGCTTAGGTCTAGACAGATTTAGAAGTCAGGACTTGGAGAGAGTACCTCGTAGAATCTGCCAAAAATTAGAGATTGTAGAATTCTTATTTTCTTATGAAAAGCAGGATGAAGTGAAACCATGGGGGACCCCATTTGCAGCTCTGTGCAGACAGACTCAGAAACCAAAGCATAGACACACCAGGATGCAACAGGAAACCGCAGGGGTCTAAGATCTTTCAGTGTAAATAGGAAGTCAGAGTTTACTTTTGAACAGGCAAGTGCCAAGTTGAAGTGCAGTGTGTAATCCACCTCTCTGCCCAGCCCTTCCTTGAGCCCGGGCACAGATGAAAAATGATTCCATCTGGGTAAAAGCATTTTCAAATGTTTGTTCTGATCAGG